GATATCTTGGCATCCACAAGGCCGATTTGGATGATTTAACTACCATTAGATTCGTCTCGATGAGCTCTACAACTTTATTTAGAGACTTAAAGATGATTAACTTAGTACGAAAAAAAGTTTTCTTTGGACAATCACTAGAAAATTTCTACTTTCGCATCTATAGTAATTTATATATAGAACTGTGTCACGTTTCACTATAATCATTCTTCAGTTGACTAGAGAATCGTCAATTAAACAATCACTAGAAAATTTTTTCTTTAAATCTATAATAATTTATATATATATATTTTTTTTAATATTAAGGTGACCACTTGAAGATCTGGTATGTTTATTAACTTCGGTTGCAAATGCCAGGGCAGTCACAGGACCACCACTGACTTTGTTATATTAACGAGGATACATTCTAATTATATCTACGCCTTTTGAGCATCTAATTAAGTAGTTCCTTATTACTAAGTACTATACTAGATACCATATCTATAATCCACCATTACTTAAGTTATCCAATTAAACCCTCTGATTAACTTAGCACTGTCAGATATTCTCCTCAAAGAGAAACTGTCACTAAGACCCCTTAGAACTAATTTATCCTCGTGATAAACCTACTAAAGTGATCCATATCTTACACATATATCACCTAGATTTTCAGTAACTTACGCCTAAGCTGAGACCAAGTACTTGTGATATTTCTCCGCTACTATTATCTACTTCTTACTCTTGCAAAGTTTATACAGACCCCAGCACACACTTTACGGACTAATACCGACTTTCTTTACCAATAGTATCCCAAACTCCCAATTCAGATAGCCTAGGGAGAGACTAATAGGTGTTCCCTTAATATTCTGATTGAATTCTTTTTCCTCGTTTATACAGGGCTACCTCTGTATATTCGCAGCCTGGTTGGTATTAGTATCTTGCCAAACACCTGGTTCTCGTCTAGTTTACTACTGGTGTCCGATTACCAATGATCATCCTTTATGTAGTACTGTTAAAAATCTGTGCTACCTCTCTACTCGGGACTTGTCAAGTGAGATTCCATGTATACCAACCCTTAGATTTACACAAACATTTCACAGATTTTGTATAACTCTTGCATCACACTATTGTTCTACATCTTTCTAATACAAGCTGGTATAACCAAGACTACAAATCTGATGATTCATCAGATTACACACAGTCTGCTATAACACATTCCTTAAATTCGAATTTCGTCGGCGGTAGGATTCAAACTCTTGTCTTGTCACTTGGAGGTACGACAATTTCACCACTTCACTAAGTCACCACACCCTAATAATTTATATATAAAACCTCGTCATATTATACTATGATTATTTTACAGTTTACTGAAGAATCATCAATTAAAATATCTACTTTTTTAACAAAATTTTTTTAAAAAAATAAAGGTTAATAAAAATATATATGATTCTTCTTATAAGTTTTATAGTTGTAGTTTAGTTTTTAAGCTTCTATTATACTTAATAAAATATACTATAGCTTTTAACAGACTTGTTCTTTGAATAACCCTTTTAGTTTAAATGCTGAATATCTTGAGAAGTCTGTAAAAAAAAAAAATTTAATTTCAAAAAATTATCTATTGACAACTGCTCCTTAGTATATTATATCTGTTTTTTGCTTAAACTTTATTAACAACAAGTTGTTTTTACTTTGAAAGCCAAATTTAGTAGTAACCTTTTGCTGCTTTTTTATATTGTTTTGCTATAATTTAGATTTTTGTTGTTGATTAAAGAATCATCAGAGTTTAAAATAAAAAGTATTATTATATCTTTTTTGCTAATTCTAAATCCCAACATCCAAAATTTTAACAAGCCATAATTGCATAATATAACAATTAAAATTTAAAGTCTGACAATGATTGTTAATATAATTACTAATCTTTAAATATTAATTGTCACACCAATATTATGGTTTCAAGATTTTGAATATCAGAATCTTGTGATAGAATTCTTTTTTGCTATAATACAGTTTTTTGTTAACCAAAAAAACATTAGAAAAAATTTATATAACAATATTTTAAATTAATTTATTTACAATTTTTCTTAAATACAAGTTATTTTTTATTTTTTATTTTTTATTTTTAATCTTCAAAGGTGAAACCATACCTCTATCTTTATTAATATAAATTATTTTTTTTTAACTTGCAGTTAAAAATATTAATAATTTTCTTTTTTTTTATTACAAATTTTCTAGATGCAAAATATTTTTGGTCTATTAACTTGCAATTAGAAAAAATTAACTATATTAGGGTTGTTAATAAAGCACTTCGTTGATTTTATTTTAATAGTAATACTTTAATACTAAGTTTATTTAAACATGCATTGTCCCTACCGTCAACTTGCTTTAAGTGTCGATTTTTGGCTAGCCTAAATTACATTCGTCCTTACCATAACTCTATATGCGAGTCACGACATTATACATAATCCAAATATCAACGTATATAATTAAAAGACGAGATTATATAAGCTTTGTCGTTAAAACTTCAATAATAATCAATACAAGTGTACTTAGCAGCTTTAGCCGTACTGATATATCTTTATTTTTTATACAAAATATTACAAACTAAATTTTGCGATATACATTTTTTGATCGAATAAAATATAAAAAAATATCCTACTACAGTACTCCTATACAAAATTTTTAAAGATATGTACGTATTCAAGTTTAAAATAATTCACCACCACGGTGCATTATCCAAATTACTGGTTTCCCATGTATTCGATCCTTGTTGATTTATATTTGATCCTTGTTGATTAAATCTTGGTGAATCATGATTTTGTGGAGGGTGACTGAACCTCGGGGAATTAAAATTCTGATTATTACCTCTTCGAAAATCATAAGGACTTTCGGACTTATCGCTACCACTTTTTCTCAAACCATTGTCAGGTTGACTACTTCCACGTGTATCCTCTCTATAATCCTCTCTATAATCACTTCTCCATTTAGGATCACGATCAATATTTCTGGACCTGTTCTCACGATTATTTTTCCAACTATCATTATTGTTTCCATAACTATCATTATTTTTCCAACCAGTTTCTCTATCATTTTTCCAACTACTCTCTCTTCCGCTTCTCCAATTTGATTCTTGATTATAGTCTCTGAAATTGGAGTCACGGTCGTTACTTCTCCAGTTACCAGTATCCCGGTAATCACTCCTCCAGTTATTAGTATCTCGACCATTATTTCTCCGGTTATTAGTATCTCGACTCCAGTTATTAGTATCCCGGCCATTATTTCGACCATAATTATCTCGATCATTACTTCTCCAACGATTTTCTTGATCATTATTTTTCCAGTTAGTCTCTCGATCATTTCTCCAACGGTTTTCTTGATCATTATTTTTCCAACTATTATCTCGATTATTATTATTTTTCCAACTAGAAGTCTCTCGATCATTATTATTTTTCCAACTGGAAGTCTCTCGATCATTATTATTTTTCCAACTAGGCTCTCGATCATTATTATTTTTCCAACTAGGCTCTCGATCATTATTATTTTTCCAACTAGGCTCTCGATCATTATTATTTTTCCAACCAGTCTCTTGTCGATTACTGTTTTCCCAGGTGGTGGATTGTGTTCCCCAGCTTGCAGCAGCATCTTTTTTGGCTTGTTCCCATGCGTCGTAACCGCTGGCCGTATTGTTACTTGATCCATATTTATAACCATCATCATTTCCACTAAAGTTTCTGTCGCGAATTTCGGCATAGTGATCCCGTCGCCCATCGTTATTGCATAATTTCGTTATGTGATCGGTAGACCCGCAATGCTGACATGCTAGAGGCGTAGTTCGCTCATTTGATTGCTTTGGCTCTGTGCAATCCTTTGTTGTGTGACCCTTTTGCTTACAGTTAAAGCAAACAGGCACTGGATCATCACTCAAAAATCCAGCATCTGCGAGCCATTCAAAATTCTCTGCTTCCGAACTGGCTTTCCCAGAAGTTTGTGGTAACCGATCCAGACTCGCGATCAATTGCGCTAAATATTTCTTATCTGTCTTTCCTTGCAAATCAATTAAACATTTCGTCAACGGAATTCCTTCACGTTTCAATGCGATTATTCTTCCAGTACAACCTGCCATTCTCAATTTTTTCTCGATTGTCTGGAATGTTTCTTCAGGAGATGCTTTGGCATATTCTTCAAACATTTCTTTAAATTCATCAATGTCTTTTTTTTTATCAGCTTGGAGAAGTCTATTCCAAGCTTCTTCGGGTGAGAATTTCGGAGGTATTGTATTGGTAACTAGATATAAAAAAAAATTTTACATTTTAACATTCAGGATTGTAACTGATATCGATAATGGCATTAAGTACTTACAAGGACTAGGCTTTGGGCTTCCTCGACGTGTATTATTAATAAAATTATTTGAATCATTATCGCGATGCATAGAAGTCATTAAATTTATTGGTTGCATCTGTGATTCTGGCACATGTTTTTGGCTATCCTGCGCTTGCATTTTTGATTCATTCAACTCCCATTCATTTTTTGTAGTTTGTTTTTTATCAGAAGCTTTCCACGCTTCAAGGATTTGTTGCGATGGTTCATTCACAGCATTCCAATGTGGTTCACCTTCATTTGAGGGTTTCGTAGAAGTATCCCACGGAACTATATTCTTTGGTGCTTTATTATTTGAAGACTTTCCTGCAGGCACATTCCATGTGTCATAAGCAGTTTGTGACGGCTCGTTCAATGGTGCATTCCATTGTGATTTAGCATCCTCGTTTATCGGATTCATAGAAGCACCCCACGAATCTATATTATTTTGTGATGTCTCGTTTAAAGATTTAGCTGCAGGTGGACTCCATGTAGTTGTTTGTAATGGTTCATTTAAAGGAATGTTTCGTTGGGATTCAGAACTTTCATTATACGCTTTCACAGAACTACTCCGCGAACTTACACTTTTTTGTGGTGGTTTCACTGGTACACCCCACGAAGTCATTTGCGATGGCTCATTTGAAGGGACGTTCCATTGGGGTTCGGCATTTTCGTTAAACGATTTAACAGAACTTCCCCGCGACTTTTCTGTAGAAGCGCCCCATGTATCAGAAGTCGTTTGTGATGGCTCATTTAAAGGTATTTTCCCTTGAGGTTCAACATTTTCGTTAGATGGTTTCACAGTGGCACTCCACGAACTTGCATCTTTCTGTGCTGTCTCATTTAAAGACTTTTCTGGAGGTACACCCCACGTACTATGGGTCGTTTGCGATGGCTTATTTGAAGGAATGTTCCATTGAGATTCGGCATTTTCGTTATATGATTTAACAGAACTCCCTCGCGATTTTTCTTTAGAAGCACCCCATGTATCTGAAGTCGTTTGTGATGGTTCATTTAAAGGAATTTTCCATTGAGGTCCAACATTTTCGTTAGATGGTTTCACAGTGGCACTCCACGAACTTTCATTTAAATTTTTTTGCGCTGACTCATTTAAAGACTTTTCTGGAGGTGCACCCCATGTATTAGAGGTTGTTTGTGATGGCTCATTTGAAGGAATTTTCCATTGAGGTTCAACATTTTCATTAAATGGTTTCACAGTGGCACCCCACGAACTTACAGTTTTTTGTGCTGTCTCATTTAAAGACTTTTCTGGAGGTTCACCCAACGTATTAGAAATCGTTTGTGATGGCTCATTTAAAGGCATTTTCCATTGAGGTTCGATCTTCTCATTAGATGGTTTAGCGGGGTCATACCACGAATTTTCGTTTGAAGACCTTTCTGGAGGTGCGCTCCACGAAGTTGGATTTTTTTGTACTGTCTCATTGAAAGACTTTTCTGGAGGTGCGTCCCATGTATTAGATGCAGCCTGCGATGGTTCATTTAAAGGAACTTTCCTTTGAGGTACGATATTTTCATTAGGTGGTTTCACAGGGACATCCCATGAACTTACATTACTTTGTGTTGTTTCATTTAAAGACTTTACTGGAGGCGCGCCCCATGTATTAGATATAGTTTGCGATGGCTCATTTAAAGGTGCTTTCCATTGAGGTTCAACATTTTCATTAGGTGGTCTCACAGGGACATCCCACGAACTTGTATTCTTTTGTGCTGTCTCATTGAAAGACTTTTCTGGAGGTGCGCCCCATGTATTAGATGCAACCTGCGATGGTTCATTTAAAGGAACTTTCCTTTGAGGTACGATATTTTCATTGGGTGGTTTCACAGGGACATCCCACGAACTTACATTACTTTGTATTGTTTCATTTAAAGACTTTACTGGAGGCGCGCCCCATGTATCAGGTGTAGCCTGCGATGGTTCATTTAAAGGTGCTTTCCTTTGAGGTTCAACCTTTTCATTAGGTGGTCTCACAGGGGCATCCCATGAACTTGTATTCTTTTGTGCTGTCTCACTTAAAGACTTTACTGGAAGTGCGCCCCATGTATCAGATGTAGCTTGCGATGGTTCATTTAAAGGAACTTTCCTTTGAGGTTCGACATTTTCATTAGGTGGTTTTACAGGGACATCCCACGAACTTGAATTCTTTTGTGCTGTCTCATTGAAAGACTTTACTGGAAGTGCGCCCCATGTATCAGATGTAGCTTGCGATGGTTCATTTAAAGGAACTTTCCTTTGAGACTCGATATCTTCATTAGGTGGTCTCACGGGAACATCCCACGAACTTGGATTCTTTTGTGCTGCCTCGTTTAAAGACTTAACTGGAGGCGGACCCCATGTATCAGGTGTAGCTTGCGATGGTTCATTTAAAAGTGCTTTCCATTGAGTTTCGACATTTTCGCTGGGTGGTCTCACAGGAACATCCCACGAATTTGTATTCTTTTGTGTTGTCTCATTGAAAGATTTTTTTGGAGGTGCACCCCATGTATTAGATGGTGTTTGCGATGGTTCATTTGAAGGAACTTTCCATTGAGGTTCATTTTCATTAGGTGGTTTCACCGATTCACCCCACGAATTTGCATTCTTTTGCGTTGTCTCATTTAAAGACTTGTCTGGGGGCGGACCCCATGTATCAAGTGTAGCTTGCGATGGTTCATTTAAAGGTGCTTTCCATTGAGGTTCAACAATTTCATTAGGTGGTTTGACCGGTTCACCCCACGAATTTGCATTCTTTTGCGTTGTCTCATTTGAAGATTTTTTTTGAGGTGCGCCCCATGTATTAGATGGGGTTTGCGATGGCTCATTTGAAGGAGCTTTCCATTGAGGTTCAACAATTTCATTAGGTGGTTTCACCGGTTCACCCCACGAATTTGCATTTTTTTGTGCACTCTTGTTTGGAAACTTTTCCGGAGGTGCACCCCATGTATCAGGTATAGCTTGCGATGGCTCATTTAAAGGAACTTTCCATTGAGATTCAGAATTCTCATTAAGTGGTTTCACTGGTACACTCCACGAATTTGCATTTTTTTGTGCACTCTCATTTAAAGACTTTTCTGTAGTAGCACCCCATGTATTATATGTATTAGATGTTATTTGTGATGGTTCTTTTAAAGGAACTTTCCATTGAGATTCAAGATCCTCATTAGGTGGTTTCACCGGTACACTCCACGAGCTTGTATTATTTTGCGCTGTATCATTTAAAGACTTTACTTGAGGTACGCCCCATGTATTAGAAGTTGTTTGCGATGGCTTATTCAGAGGCCATTGTGACTCGACACCCTCATTGGGCTGTTCCCACGAACTTGCATTTTTTTGAGCACTTTCATTTATTGACTTTTCTTTAACTGCACCCCATGTATTAGAAGTCATTTGCGGCCATTGTGATTCAACCTTTTCATTAGATGGTTTAATCGGCCCAACACCAACTGAAAACAGTTTCTTGCGTAAAATGTCCATTATTGAAGGATCAATATTATTTAAATATTGCTCAAGTGATGTTAAATCAATTGGATCAGTCTGAACTTCTACATCACGAAATGCTTTGGTAGTGAACGAAGATTCTGTTTGTTCCAGATGACCATTTTTATTATGGGATTCTAAAAAAAAAAAATTATGTATTAAATAAATAATAGACCTTAATACAAATTACCAAATTATCCTAAGATCTACGTACCTTGCGCCGGGTGTTGAATGTAAGTTCGAACAGTCTTTTGAAGAATTTCGGGAGGGACCGAATTTAAATTATCATTTAGGTCAAATTCCCCCAACTGGTTACGCTCATTATGTTTTTTAATTTGTAATGTTGTAAAAGAGTTATGAATTACCTCCTGCATAGCAAGAGTCTTCAAAATAAGTGAAACGTTAAAACGATCTAGTTTAAACAGACACAGGACTTTCAATGCAGTTAAAAACATACAGATAAATCATCGGACTCCATCTCCATTGGATCGTTTGAATTATTAGAAATAATTTTTGAGTGTTGATCAACAGATCTGGCACGTGTGGTCGTAGTAAACCTCAAAGAACCATCATTTGCATCATTTTTCTTGACTTCCCATGAGCCCTCAGAACGGCCTTTACCACCCCACGTATCTTTATACATATCAGATCTTTTATGTATACGGATGTCTTCAGAAGGAGATGATCTCTTTCTATTCCAACCATTATTTTCGTAATGAAAAGGTGGTTTCTTCCATTGATCATCACGATCATGGACCGAGGTTGGTGGGTTACTTGTCACCCATTCGACTTCTTCTTCAGGGGTGGGAGCTTGTTTTATAGTAGAATCATTTTCACGATCCTGTGAGGAAGTCGGTTGATCACTTGTTATCCATTCGTCATCATCAGACAGGGGAACTTGTTTTATTACGCGATTATCATCTTGATCTTGAGGAGGAGTAAGCGTCCTTTCTATTACATCATCATCATCAGCAGAAGCCTGCTTATCTTCCCAATTAACTTCTAATTCAGGTTCTATTACATCTTCAGTAGAAATAGATTCTTGCTTATTTGCCCAATCATCTTTAGCTTGCGTTTGCACACCCTGTGTGCCCCAATTATCATAATAGGTTGAAGTTTGTGGCCAATTGTTTTCAGTAGGAACTCGTGGTCGTCCCCAACCCTCATCGGTGGTCGAAGGTTGTTTCCAATTATCATCATTAGAAGCACTACTTGAAGGTAGCCAACCTTCATCGGTGGTCGAAGGTTGTTTCCAATTATTATCGTTAGAATTATTACTTGGAGGTAACCAAGCTTTGTCATTCATTATTTTTTTACTGTAACCCAAGGTAAATGATTGTGGCGGAAACAAGTACATTGCCCATAAAAAATTTCAATCAGTCTTTTTGGTAAAATAAAAAAGAAAAACCGATAATTTTCAAATTATTCATATTTTTAACCGACGTGATAATTATTATTTTTGATAAGTTCCACAAATTTACATTTTTTTGAACAATTATTTCTACCCATGCAATTCGACTCACCGTGACTTTACGATAACAATTCTTCAACAACTAAAGTTTTACGCGAAAACTTTGTTTCTTAAATTTTATAACTTTAATTTATTTATTTATGCTCAATGAAACTCGCGTTACTTTTTGAAATGGTTCTTTTAGTTTTGTGAAAGAAGCAGACAGATATAAAATCGGATTATGTAACATAAATACATTATATAAATGGATATAATTCTTAGTTTTAATTGGTTCCTCTTGGCAAATATACTAAACTACCAAACAGGTCTGAAACTAGCAAGATACTCTGATCCAGGCACCGATACCAGTGATGCATTAGTTATCAGAAATCAGTGGGAAATCAGTGGCTTCATAAATTACAAAAAAGTGACGAATTTTTTTCTATAAACGTACACACACTATTTATCAAACTTGAAATTTCCTCGTTCAATGCAAGAATTTCTCGTTATAACAGATATATTACTAACAAAAAACTATCTATATACTTGTGTGATTTTGAGTTTTTGCACATACAAGAAGTTGTGGGAATATTCGCACAGTACTTTTCTGTACTTTCTATGATATTCAACACATGATTTGATGTTTAATTCAATATCACTATCTTATTAATATCTATTAATATGGATTATTAATAATTAAATACATACGCATCTTAATGCTATTCCATAAGGATGGCAGTTGGAGAATATATACATTGTTTGTATTTCTTATATTCAAATGTTAATGATTTAATTTGGATAACACGTTCCAGCTACATACATATATACGCATATTTGAATGGTTTTTTTTTTGTTATAATACTGTACAGTTAGTTACTGATACGTACGTACTACTAAATCTTTTAGGAAATCTTTTAGGTATAATTTTTTTTAAAATTTAATACGTACTGTATATTTTTTTACTATTTTAGCAATAGCTTTTATTCAATTTTAAAATTTAAGCTTGTGTATATACTTGAATATAATTAGAAAATAAAATAATTTTTTTTAAACAACAAAATTTTTTATACGTATTTTATATAAATATAAAATATAGTTAACAATTTTTTTAAAAAAATATATTACATATATGTATATATACTATGCGTAACAAATTAAGATAATAATAAAAAAAAAATATGTAGAATGTATTACGTATGAGTAATAAATTACGTTATAATAATTAAATATAAGCATTCTTTCACAATTTGGTTGATATAAAGACGAATCTCTTAAATAATAATAATTATTATTTAACGATAAATACAATGATAATAATTAGACTAAAGATAACGATAAGAATCACCAACCAATTTTGTAAACTTGAGCCCCTTACAGCTCTCCTCCCCTCATTATGCATTATATCATTATTGATATAGATATATATATATATATTATGTATTCGGATTTACTAAATGCATCATTTAATATGTATCATACCTGCTATATATATTCTAAATCTAGTCAAGCGATCAATACTTGATACTAAGTAAAAAATATTTTTGGGCGTTCCAAAAAAACTTTTTTTTTGATCATTTACTGTAAATTTATCAGCAGAAATTTTATAACACAAGTTAGATTATTTATTGTCATTATGATATATAAGGTGACGGCTATGTATGGGCATTGTGATTGATTATTATGTCCAATACCATTAAACAATAGCCACCAGCAGTGATTAATGTATTTGGTTACATACATACATACCCGATTCTTACAAATTTTAAATAATAAAAAGAGTGGAATTTATAAAACCCTGGATCAGGGTTCTAAAAATTTTTCTAGCCAATCAAATTTCAAGATCAGGCAAAATCAATACACTAACAACCTAGCTTTAATAATGGCAATAATGGCAAAATCTTTTAGATAGTAAAGCAGCAGGACCGTTACTATTTATTGCGTTAATGTTTACTGTTTAAACAACCTTTTTTCTTTCTTTTTTTTTTTTCTCTGATACATTTGAAACCATGGCATATTTATTTCTAGACAATTAAAAAATTTCAGTTGAACCAACTTCATAATTCACATGTTTTAATTCATTTTATTGGATAATTGTATAATCACATGATTTTTACATTAATTTAATTGGGTAAAAAAAAGTTTTTTTAAGGTTCATAGTATCAAGTAGATAAAGGTTAGTTGCTTCGGCGCAATTTTGATTCGTATCAGTATCACTAATTCTAGCCTTTCCTAATGGCAATTTAATTGAATCAAACAAATTAAAATTGTCTAGTTGTTTTAAAATTTTTTTTTTTTCTGAAACTAAAAAACTAAATTTGAATTCAAATCAATTAGATGAATATAGATTAATTTATCTAAAAAAAAAAAAAAACAAATTCCCTTTGAACTTGTGCTAAAATAACATATAAATGTCTAATAGATAAAACTACATAATATTACTTGTACAAAATTTTTACCATATATTGTTTATTAGCAATATCTTCCTCCAATAAATTCTGACCAACTTTTAACTTCACCTGGATATTGACCATCTGACAAACTGCCTAATTCTTGACGCTTCCTCTTGAAAGATTCAACAAATAATCTAGCACATTTACCATCATTGACCAATGGAATACCAAAATCTACTGCTGATCTTCTGGCAATATAGTTCTCATCATTTACATCCGATGCCCGAAGTTGTGCGAGATTAAAAACGAAATCAATTTTATTATTTTGGAAAACTTGATGTAATGCACGTTTATTTTGTTCTGGTAGGATTAATGTTGTGGCTTTAATACCTCGTTTCGCAAGGTATTCTGTTACTTTTGGTGATGATGTATATAATGGGTGTCCTAAATCTTTAGATAGTGTATGTGCGACAGCGTAAAAATCATCTTCATTCGTCAAATCATCTTTTCCTAAGAGTATACCGCTTCCTGGTTTAGGAATTCTGAAATTCTGTGTAGATTGGATGGCTGACCAATATGCTTCATATTTGTCTTTACCGAAAGAAGCAACTTCACCTGTAGATGCCATTTCAACACCAAGGAAAGGATCTGCTCCTTGTAAACGAGTCCAAGAAAATTGTGGTACTTTAACAGCTTGATAATCTTTCTTTACTTCCATAAGATAAACTGGCTCTGGAACTTGATAGTCACACAATGCATGCATAGCAATATCAATGAAATTTGTTCCAAGCACCTTAGACACGAATGGAAATGATCGTGATGCACGAAGGTTACATTCAATCACTTTAAGCTCTGATTCTCCATTTGGATTATCTTTTCTGATAATTTGCATGTTAAAGGGTCCAGTAATATCGAAAGCTTTAGCAACTTTACCAGCAATTTCTTTCAATCGTGCCATAGTTTTTGCGTTAGTATCACTTGGGGGCAATACAAGAGTAGCATCACCAGAATGAACACCAGCGTTTTCCACATGCTCAGAGACTGCGTGAATTAATAATTTGCCCTTGTATGCAACTGCATCTACATCAATCTCGGCAGCGGGTGATATGAATTTAGTAATTACTACGGGATGTAACGGTGAAACTGATGCAGCTTCAGAAAGGTTCTTATGTAGAGCCTCACGTGTATGACAAACGTTCATAGCGGCACCTGAGAGAACGTACGAGGGACGAACAAGGACTGGGTATCTAAAAAAAAGATCATTCACTTAGTAAACTCAAAATATTGTAAGTTAATGTGATCTAAATGATCCGCACGCCAATCCACATGAAGGATTTAGATCTGATCCGATTGTCGGATCGGGTACGGATCCGGTCCGTACGGAAAATTAGTAAAGTAAAAACGGTAAGTTTTTTTATCTTACCCAACTCTATTAGCAAATTTTTCAGCTTCTTCTACACTGGATAACTCCTTCCATTCGGGTTGGTCCACACCGATTTCATCCAAAACTTTCGAAAATTTGAATCGATCCTCAGCTTTATCAATAGAGACAGGGCTTGTTCCTAAAACATTTACCTTATTTTCATACATTCGTAACGCAATATTCTGCGGTAATTGCCCACCCACAGATACTACAACACCTTGTGCCTTTTCTGCTTCATAAATGTCCATTACACGCTCATATGAAAGTTCCTCAAAATAGAGTCTATCACATTCATCAAAATCTGTGGAAACTGTTTCTGGATTGTAATTCACCATAACAGTTTTCTTGCCCATTCTACGAAGGGCACGGATGGCTGAAACCCCACACCAATCAAATTCAACAGATGAACCAATACGATATACTCCGGAACCTAGCACCATGGTTCCGTGATCATTAAAGTCAATGTCGTGAGTCGTAGCATTATAGGTAGTATACAAATAATTCGTCTTGGCAGGAAATTCAGCTGCAAGAGTATCAATTTGTTTGACATATGGTGTAATTCCATGCTCCTTTCTTACTTTGCGTACTTGATCTTCATTGGTTTCTTGTAATAAGGCGGCAATTTGTGAATCAGAGAACCCTTTTTTCTTGGCATCTTGCAATAATGTTTTGGATACGTTTTCTAATTTTCCAGCATGTTTTAGATCATGTTGAATGTTAACAATATTACCAAGCTTATAAAGGAACCATTTATCAATCTTGGTAAGATCATGAATTTGATCGATCGTGTAATTTTTTTCAAGCATCGCTTGACCAATGGCAAATAATCGAAGGTCGGTAGGATTTTTAAGTGTCTTATCAAGTTCTGGGAATTGCAAGGATTGGAAACCCTTAAAAGAAGGATCAACTTGACGAATAGCCTAAGTAAATGGAAAAATATGATTAAAATTTTATATTACAAAAAATATTCAGAAAACTCAGTCCGTTGATCGCGTACCTTTTGTAAACTTTCTTCAAATGTCCTACCGACTGCCATAACTTCACCTACACTTTTCATGGAACTACCGATATCACGATTGACGTGCTGGAATTTCCTGAGATCCCATTTTGGAATCTTTGTGACAATATAATCCAATGATGGTTCAAAACAGGCCGTAGTAGTTTTAGTAACTAAATTTGGAAGTTCAGGAAGTGTGTGACCCAACGCAATCTTTGCGGCAATGAAAGCAAGAGGATATCCGGTAGCTTTGGATGCCAGAGCACTGAAACAATTAAACATTTATAATCAATTATCAATTAGTTTAATTAGTTGAAAATGACTAAATGCAATAAAAGTAAAGTTTACTAACCTGCTACGGCTAAGACGAGCGTTTACTTCAATGACTTTATATTCAAGGCTTTGAGGATTTAAAGCATATTGAACGTTACATTCACCTACCACCCCCAAATGACGAATTATCTTAATTGCAGCAGTTCTGAGCATATGGTATTCTTCATCACTTAATGTTTGGCTTGGAGCAACAACAATAGAGTCACCGGTGTGAATTCCAAGTGGATCAAAATTCTCCATATTACAAACAGTAATACAGTTATTTGCAGCATCACGAACGACTTCATATTCAACTTCCTTCCAACCTTTCATGGATTTTTCTACAAGGATTTGAGGCGACAATGACAATGATCTGGCAGCCAGACTATGTAATTCTTCGGGGTTTGAGGCAAATCCAGACCCAAGCCCACCCAAAGCGAACGCTGAACGAATAATTACAGGATAACCTATTTGTTCAGCGGCTGCAAGAGCATCATCGACAGTAGAAACTGCAGTGGATTCTGCAACAGGAATATCAATTTCTATATAATGAAATAACAAAATTATTATTATGAATTTTGTTTAAACATCATTATCTTATCATCAATGGATTAGTTATTTACCTTTCAATGCCTGCGCGAATAAGTCCCTATCTTCGCTTACTTCCAAAGTACGAATCGGCGTACCCAATACTTTAACACCATTTCGAGCCAAAACACCCATTTTATCCAACTTTATACCACAATTTAACCCAGTCTGACCACCGAATGTTAATAATATCCCATCGGGTCGTTCTCGTTCAATGATATGCGTAAGGTATTCAGGAGTAACAGGTAGGAAATACACAGTATCTGCTAAAGCATGTGATGTCTGAATAGTGGCGATGTTGGGATTTACAAGTATAGTATGAATGCCTGATTCACGTAGAGCCTTAATGGCCTGTGAACCTACATAAGCAAATTGGACAAATCGAATTTAGTAAGTTCTTCAAAGTTTTAAGCGAATGATAGATTCGACTTACCTGAATAGTCGAATTCGCCAGCCTGACCAATGGATAAACCACCAGAACCCACAACAAGTACTCTTTTCACATCCACTTTGGATACATTATCGAGAATAACTTCACTGACATGCTTTGTATGCTTCGAATTTTCATTTTTATACTGAGTGGTTGTACTATAGTGATAAGATATTCGCGTTGTCTTTCTGAGCGCGTGAAATGGCGATGTAGAAGAAACAGGTCTGAGATTATTATATGTTTTATGGTAAGTTGAAGTAGTATAAGGTGATCGACTAAACGGATTAGTGATGGTTTTACTATAATTGCGTGATGCTTGTGCACTTTTTGGAACACGAGATAATAATGCACTAACATGTCGTATTGGACTCGGGGATCGGATGCAACTTTGATACATTTTTTGGTTTTTTTAATAAATTATAAATTTGGTTTTTTTTACCAAAGGTTTTTGTTAACGATTTAAGCGTTTTAGGAACATCTTTATATACTGTATTTTTACGCGACAGTTTAATAGACGTAGACACAATAAATAAGTAAGATAATCGTGAGTAACGGTAACGATAAGGAATCTAGATTAGATCATCTAAGATGCACTTTTTCATAAACGCTACACAATCTGTAAATATATTGTACTTTAATTAAAGATATCGGGATCTTTGAAATATCTCGGACAATCTCAACATTTAGAAAGTACTCGAAAATATCGAAATTTGATCAGTCTTACATTGATCAGTCTCACTGAAATATGTGTAAAAAATTAGCGATTGTAATTATGATTAGGATTGTTTATGGAAATTATTTACTAAGTACTGTACGTAAATTAGATTGCATGTAACTTCCCATGTGATATGCAAAGTACAGGTTTGGCGAGTATTAATTTTGTCGATTGATGATCCACCATCACAATGACGAAATTAAACTTACAGTTACACGAAAAGTATGCAAGAATTGCCATCAATAAAATAATTATAGCCTACCGCATAATTTTAAACAATTAATTAGTATTATAGTTGGATTTTTAAACTGTGATATTACGTATAAATTCGAGCATCGAAAATAAGCTTTCATTCACTAAGTTTTTAATTCGATTAATCATCGAACATTAGAGTCAAATTTTATTTGGTTTAATAGTAATAAAATTTTGACTTAACTATACGTATACAGTATATTAGTGCTGCAGAGCAAAAAACCTGTAACAGACCCATAGTAAATCATTATGATCAATTACAGGTTTTCGTTCCACAGCACTCATATATGGGCTAGGTGCCGCAAAAAGGGGGGTAAATTGACAAATTTTTAAAAATTAATTTTGTTATGTATATAGATTAATTTAAAATAAGGTGAGGATCATTTTTCACTTAACGTTAAGAGTTGTATTAATAAAATTATGCAATAAAACTCTTTAACATTTGTAATTTCTTAGAAAATTGATTTGCCGAAGATCTTTTAAATAATATTAATTAAAACGTTAAAACGTGAAATTGATTTAATATTTCAGATTTATTGATTCCTGTCAATTCGGAATCAACATGTATCGTTTTTGAATTTTTACCGATCAGAAGTTACGAATTAGTAAAGCAGTTACATATTATTCATATAAAGCAAAAAAAAAAGTAACTCTTTATAGCTGTTTTCAAAAAGGTGTAACCAGGTGTAAACCACTATATCATAGGAAAACCACATGATTTCCCTGATTTCCTTGATTTCCTTGATTCCGCGAATAA